TAAAATTTTTTCATTTTTATAAACATGCTAATTTGAAACATTTGTAAAGGTTCTTTAACATGTTTTTCATAAATACTTTTTCTTCCCTAATATTTCAGATTGCATTTCAGCACAGTAGTCACTACCTGATTTTTACACAAGCCATTGTCATAATCACAGGCATAGCCAAGTGAATTAGGGCGGAATAGAAGTCTTTCTTCTTTCTGGCATTTGGGGTTAAGTTAGTAGCAAGAAGTGTTTTCCCCTTTCATTTTTCAACAGATATCTGTTAGAGTTTTAGATAAATAATGCCACAAATTGAAAACTATAGTATACTTAGTAAACAGTACATGCTTAGTAAATAGTAACTGTTAATTATTAATATTACAATGCAAGAAGAGGGCCAAACTGACATTACCCTAAGAAAATAAAAAGGTAGCAATGTAAGAGGTGCAAAATTTGATCTGTAACAACTGTGTAACTACTGCCAATTTCTATTTCATTTTGGATGTATGGATGATAGATTATTATGATTTGTATTTGTGTATGTGTATGTTTTTTCCCTAAGGAAGGAAGTTTGTTAACATCCTGATGTGCTTTTGGTATCTAACCAGTGCCAACATCCCCAGTGAAACTTTAAGCGGAGCGGGTGTGTTCCAGGTTAAGTTGGGGAATCAGAACGTGGAAACTAAGCAACTTCTTAGTGCAAGCTATGAGTAAGTCTGTCGCATGCCATACTACGATAAAAAAACTAACAGAGTTTTAGGAAGAAAGGGTTGAAATTTGACAGGTTATTCATAAAGAGAAAAAGCCATAATGACTACTGGCCATGATGCGGCAATGTTGGAGGTAGGAAAGGCGGTAGTGTTTCTGGATGTAATTGCACAGTGTTTCAGCTGTCCATTGCTGCATTGCAAACCACTCCACAGCGCAGTAGCTTCCAACAGCCCTTGGATTTTGCTGCTGTTTCACGGTCAGGATTTGGAAAGGCTGATCAGTAGGGAGTCTCTGCTTCTCCTGGATCAGCGGGGTGACGGGCTGGAGGACCCGTTTCCGCAATGGCTTTGTCACCGACATGGGCATCGCCTTGGGCTCCTCAGTCTCGCCACATAATGTCGAACTCTCCAAGGCCCTTCTGCTGGCATGGCTTGTGGTGGTCTCAGGCTGGTCACGTGTTTTATGGTGGGTGGGATTCAAGAGGCAGAAGTCAGAAGATGCTAAACCAGTAGAGGGCTATGCCCAGGATGGGACCACATCATTTCCACCGTAGTCCACTGTCAAAGCAGTCACAGGATCTGCACAGGTAAAAGCACCTGGGAGACTACCTCCTTATGGAGCATCTGCAAGGCCACACTGCAGAGGAGCCTATTGGGTGGGAGATAAGGTGATGGCCTTGTTGGAAAATAAGATCTGCGGTAATTGGTCATGACTACCCACTCTCTAGACATTTATTGACCATCTCCAGGTCTCTGGTAGGGGTTCACATGCAAAGTTAAAGGGTTCTTGCCTTAAGGAGCACTGTCTGTCTAGTAGGTTAGCAAATTACTTGAGACACTATTGTGCATTCTTGTGCTAATAACATTTGGAGCAGTGAACAAGTCAATAGAGACATAATTATATATTTAAACACTTATTTAATTAAAATCTGAATTTTCTCTTTGGAGATATCATTTATAATTACTGATCTTTCCTGCTAAGACACAGGGCAGCTCATTAAACACTGTTTATTTTAAAGATTGAGCTAACATATGTAAGCCAGATAACACTAAAGTGCTATATGTTCATCAGCATATTCCAATTTATTCCCCTCATATTAGGCATATGTTATAGCTAGTATTTAATAACAATAAAACCCCAGTTTCTCACAGGATTGGCAGATGTTGGAGTATAGATTCTTCCATTAAAAATACTCACTTTAGTTTAGAATGTACTTCTAATTCTGTAGGGATATTTTTTGTGATTAAATTGGTAAAGTCCTTTATTTACCATTGACCATTAGTTTATTGCTAAAAACTGCCTCTAACACTTGCAGATTAGTTACCTGAGACGATTTGGACTGGTGTTTGCACTTCTTCCCTAGGTTCCAGAGGGAGTTTACACAGGGAGTGAAGCCCAACTGGATCATTGCACGGATTGATCACGCCAAGTTACTAGAATAATCTTTCCTGGAAAAATTGGCGTATTTGAACTTTCAGCAATTGCTGTGAAAAACTAAGGAAGAATATGGATCAGTTGATCTTCACTTGACTTTCGTATTATTCTGCAGTACGCCTTGCAGTATACTGGTATGACACAATAAAGCATTTCTACTGATCGTTGTCACCTTCTGTAAAAGAGGTCCACAGCCCATTGTTGGTGTCACATTCAACTGTCATCTCTAACATTACACGAATGTGTATATATGCACAAACTAATTTTATAGACAATAAAGAAGGTATTGAAAAACTACATATTTCTAACTTAATTCTTAAAATATTTTATTTGTGGTTAATACATTTAAACCAATAATTCAAGAGTGTATAAGGTTTATTTTTTAAAATCAGTGCTATTTGATAACCCTGGTCACTAGCTAGATGAGGAATGGATGGGATTATGGCTTGGTCACTGCACAATGAACTTGAAGCTTTCTAAAACACAGAAAAAAACCCACATATTACATCTGTGAGGTAATATCAACTATTTTAACATACTTATACTTGGAGTCCTAGAAGTTGGGGTAGAGGAGATAAGTAAAAGGGTAATGTACCAATTAGGGCGGATGTCTTCCAGATGTCCATCTGGACAAAACCACAGGGGCTTCGAGGCCTGGGACTCAGGCAGCTGTGGGCTCAGGAAGCCATGGACTGGCAGTGGCAGCAGCAGTGGGTGATGGGGGCTGCACCTTCCCTTGATCAGCTTGGTTGCCTCCCCCAGAGGGAGGCCAGACTGCGGCCTAGGCCTGCTCCCCATGGGATGTCAGTAGGACATCCCCTGAGGGCTCCCAGGCTATGAGAGGGGGTAGGCCAAGCTGAGGGACCCTCCTCCCCCAGCGCCCCCACATGAATTTTCGTGCACTGAGCCTCTAGTCATAACAAATAATGTCAAAATTTTAATTGATGAGACCTATAAATCTACATATCCAAGAAAATCAACAAGCAGAATAACACAAAGAAAGCTTCACTGGGTACATCATAAAGTGTTGAAAACCAGAAAGAATTGTAAGAGCAGCTGGAGAAATGACAAATATATTCTATACAGAGAATGACTGCATTTTTCTTAAACTGTAAGGTAGAGACCTAGGCATGACAACCTTTAAAATGCTGACAGGAAATAACCTGTTGACCTACAATTCTATATTCAGCAAAAACAGCTTTCAGAAAAGGTGAGAAAAGAATTTTTCAGATGGGGAAAAGATGACTTTGTTGCTAGTAGACCTGTTTTTATAAGAAATGTTAAGGATTGGTGGGCAGATTTGATTCAGAAATGGACCCATGTATATTGGGCAATCGGTTATTTAAGCGAATTCAGAATTGGCTCACAAGATGGAGGATAATCTGTTTTACTCAAAGTCAGCTGACTCAAATGTAAATCTGCTGCAAAGTATCTTCACAGAAACGATCTAACAACGTGATGTTTGACTAAATACCTCAGTGCTGTGACCTAGTCAAGTGGAAAGGTAAAATTAACTGCCATAGCTACGGTACATGACTATATACTCTCCCCTGAGAGTCAACAAAGGTTAATGTTCTCCATATTGTTTCATCTCTACACACAGACTAATCTGGTACTCAATTCTAGAGAGTGTTGGGGAGGGGTTCCCCCCAAATATCAAGCAATTCTGGGACACCACCTGAGTGCCCTACAATTCAACTCAATATCTGGAGATGGCATTAGATTCACTGGTTGTGGGTTCAGTCCTACAAGATTCTCCCCTCCCTTCAGATGTCAATCATAAGTGCAGCCTCTCACCTGACCACCTGACAACTGGCTGTACATTGGAGGTTGCAATGACCCCTTCCTGGGGTCCCATTAATTTGCTAGAGCAGCTCATAGAGCTCAGAGAAACATTTTACTTACAGATTACCCATTTATATAAAAGGGTTTAGCTGAGGAACAGCCAGACGGAATGGATGCGTCAGCAAAGTGTGTGGGAAGGCGTGTGGGGCTGCCATGCCCTGAGCAGGCCACACCCCGCATCTGCAAGTGTTCGCCCTGGGAGCTCTCTAAACCTCATCCTTCTGGGGTCTTATGGGGGAGTCATTATACAGGTGAGTGATTTCATCATTGGCTCTTGGCTGTTGATTTAACCACCAGCCGGAGATGGGACTAAAAGTCCCAACCCTCTAGTCACGTGATGCATCCTGGCCTAGCCGCCCATCCTTAGGTCATTGCAACCTACATCCATAGGTGCTTTTCAAAAGTCACCTCGTGACAAAGCTCAGGAGAGGTTGAAAGGGGTTTGTTACAAATATCAAGACACCTTAATTGTTCTTACCACTGGGGAAGTCCCAAGGGTTTTAGGAGTTCTGTGCTGGAGACTGGGATAAGGAGCAAATACATAAAGTCACAATGTGCACACAGTTTTTATCCAAGCCACTTGAAAGTTAAGTTTCAGACCTATATGGCTGTTTTAAGCCACCAAGTTTGTAGTAATGTCTTACATCAGCAACAAGAAATCAATATACAACATGATGCTTGCATAATTGTTGGAAAAATGATGATCCTCTAATTATACCTTCTGGCATTCTATAAAAGAGTGATATTAATATTTAAAAATATTACTGCAACTGCATGGATTTTAATCATGCAATGTAGTATTAGTAATATTCTTTTTGATACCAAATAGCCCTGTTTGGCAGTCGGAGCCCTTTGACAGGTTAAAGATGAACATGACCCTGTTAGTCTTTTGAGTTTCTTGCACTTTCTGGCATAATATTTTCTAGGATCTTTTGTCCATTTTCTGCCTCGGCTGAAAACTCGGTGTTTTCTCCAAGGAGTCATGATTTTTTTTACTCCAGGGCAGTTGCCCCACACTGAATGTTTGTGCCCACCTTCTCCCTCCCCCCCGAATTCATTTGTTGAAATCCTACCCTGCAAAGTGATGGGAGGTGGGGCCTTTGGGAGGTATTGAGTGATGATGGTGGAGCCTTCGTGAATAGGATTAGTGCCCTATTTAAAAACCAACAAAACAGCTTCCTCACTGCTCCCACCAAGCGAAGACCCAGTGAGAAGATGGCTAACAAAACCAAGTATCTGAGCCCTCATCAGACATTGAATCTGCTGGCACCTTGATCGTGGACTTCCCAGCATCTAGTGCTGTAGAAATGTTTGTTGTTTAAGCTTCCCAGTTCGTGGTATTTTGTTCCATAGGAGCCTGTATGGACTAAGATGGGGATGATGTTTAGAAACCAAGATTTGGGCATGCGGAAGTGTTTTGATGCTATGTTTGCAAAGAATGTTCATTATACACATTTGAGATTTTGGATCATTTCAAGGAACATTGGGAGAGCTAAATGTGGACTGTTTGCCTTTATGTCTGTCAACCTTATTTAAAGCATTCCTCCCCCATCACTCTCGATGCCCTGACCCAGATCTATTTTGGTTTATAGCACTTATCACATCTGACGATGTAATATGTGTTACTGTGTTGACTTCTTCTGTTAATTGGCTTTCCAACTTCTTCTGTCTTAGTCCTGGAACAATATCTGGTACATAGTACAGCTCAGTCAACATTAGTTGAATGAACACATAAAAGAGTGACCCTCACTCCTGAGTGTCCTGACTCACATTTCAGGATCCTTTTCCTTCTTGCTTGTGACTTGATGCCCTAGCAACGCTAGACGTGCTTTCTTTTGTCAGGGACAGTCCCCCTCTCAGGAGGGATGCAGCGTTATTGGATACACATGGCCTTGCTTTCATGGTCATACGATAAATGTCATTTACACTAAACACCACACGGTGGCGCTGATTGTGTAGGAATATAAATCAGCGTTTTCCAACCGCTGTTCCGCTGCACAGAGATGTTGCCTGGTGTGCCGTAGGTGCAGACAAGACAAGAATTTTATAATTTTTCACTATTTTGTTTACTTAATATTTCATAATAAAGTAATTATAAAATACTTTCTTTGTGTTTATTTGATTCCTATTCAAGAGAATTACTTTATATATAGTCAATATAGGCACAGAGTTAAATTTTTTAACATTTTCTAATGGTGGTGTGCCTCGCGATTTTTTTCATGAAACAAGTGTACCTTTGCCCAAAAAAGGTTGAAAAACACTGAATAATACTGGAATCGGCGGTGAGTTTGCTAAGGCCTGAAACTGATGAGCCATGGGAGGAAGGTTGCTTTACTTACAGACTGATTTCTATGGATATAGGAAAATGCTAAAAAAAAAAAAAAAAAAAAAAAAAAAAAAGTTGTTGGAATCACAGGTTACAGCATTCAGTTTGTCAAGCATGTGATTCCTCCCACACTAAGAAAGTTGTTTCTAGATGGTGTGTGTGCTACTTAGGATAATGCAGGTTATGCTTATGCTGCAGCAACAATAAAAATCTCCAAATCTCAATAGATCTAGGCAAAAATAAATACATTTTAAAGTAGGATGATAGTATGTCTCTTGTTCACCTGGCATGCCCAATAAGAGGCACCTGCAGACTCAGTGGGTGGGTCATCACCTCCCTCCTGGACACAGCTCCTGGGCAGCCACTCCCTGATCCTGTGGCAAATGAAAACAGCTCCGAAGGGTCTCACGTGAGCGAGTACACGCTCAACGGGAGTGATACAACTCCCTGGCCAGAGCATGGCCCTACTCAGCCAGAGACCCGGGGTCCAGTTCTGTCATGTGATCAGAAGGCGGAGAGGGCGAAGCACTCAGTGAGCAGCAACAATGATGGCCACACGCAGTCAGGAGCAATTTCTCTAGTTCTAACCCCAGGAATGGCTGTCTCAGTGCCACTAGGATGCTCAGGGGAAGGAGGATTTCCGAGATCTTTTGGCGATGATGTGTGACTAGCTGAGACTGACAGGCTCCTCTGCCATAGACCCTGCAGATAAAAGTCTCTCTGCCTGTGAACTAGTGACTGCAACTGCCGTAAACTTTTTTAAATGGAAAAGGCCATAGAGCACCTGAATCCCATTCGCTTCGTTTAATGAGCTCTGCCGAGGTACACTAAACACCCCTGGGACTAACGAGGGTGCCATATGAAATACAACGTGCTCAGCTAAGACCTCACACACTGTTAATGCTGTTACAAATTACTTATGGCTTCAAAATAGTAATCTTAAGAAAGATAAGACTTTATGGGAGTATTTAATCTTACTTAGTCATTCAGTCTCACACCGTGGATAGATTATGCTAATGGTTAGTGTGTCATTTAGGATTCCTTCTGAATGCATGACGCAAAAACCTCTAAAATCTGAACTTAAATAATAATAATAAAATATATTGGGTCTAGTAATAATTAATATCGTTTTTAACATTCGTTTAAAATCTTGCTTGGCGTTGACTTGTATTAACATAACCTTCAAACACGTGGTATCTACAGAACGTGTGAAGTGCAATTAACAAGTTTTGCTTGAAAAAGTTTGTGTTTGGTTTGGTTTTTGTTGCAAAACTAGGGCTAAGAAGATGGCGAATGAAGAGCATATTCGGCACTGCATGCTTTACGAGTTCCAATTAGGAAGAAAAGCAAGTGAGGCTGCAAAAAACATCTGTAGTGCTCTTGGTCAAGATGCAGTTAGCGCCAGAAAATGCCAGCGTTGGTTTGAGAAATTTCGCGAGGGAAATTTTTCGTTAGATGACAAGAGTGGTCGAGGCCGTGTGTCCAATTTTGATCAAGAAGCTCTTCAAGCTCTTTTGGTGCAAAATCCTCAAATTACCCAACAAGAGCTTGCGAAAACTTTAAATTGTTCACAAAAAACAATTTCCAATCAATTGCGTGCACTTGGCAAAGTCCAAAAGTTTGGAAAATGGGTTCCTCATGAGTTGACCAACAACAACCGTAATCAAAGAGTCACAATTTGTAGTTCGCTCCTCTCTCGGCAAAACCGTTTGCCGTTTTTAGAGCAAATTGTTACCGGAGATGAAGAATGGGTGCTGTATGTTAATTTGAAAAGGCGGCCTCAATGGTTGGACAAAAATGAGGCTCCTCAGCCCACGCCAAAACCTGACTTGCATGTGAAAAAAGTGATGTTGTGTGTTTGGTGGAATTTTAAAGGAATTCTTCATTATGAACTTTTGCCATCTAACCAAACCATTACAAGTGCAGTGTATAGTGCCCAATTGGAAAGGTTAGCCCAAGCTTTAAGAAAAAAAGAACCCGCGCTGATTAATCAGAAGGGCGTAATTTTTCACCATGATAACGCACGACCGCATACTGCAAGAATCACTGCTGAAAAACTGCGCCAGTTGGAATGGGAAGTTCTCCCTCAACCTGCATATTCTCCTGATATTGCCCCTTCCGATTACCATTTGTTTCGTTCTTTGCAAAACTTTCTTCTTGGAAAAAAATTTAATAATGAAGAATGCCTCAAAAATGCATTGACCGAATTTTTTGCATCAAAATCACAAGAATTTTACAACAGAGGGATTAAAATGCTTCCAGAGCGTTGGGCACAAGTAGTAGAAAACAACAGCAACTATATTGTTGATTAAATTTTGTTGTATTGTTTAAATAAATTCGATTTAAAAAAGGTATTAGAAAACGACATTAATTATTACTAGATCTAATAGTTGATTTCTCTTACACATAACAGAAATCCAGAGGCAGGAGTCTCTGGGCTCTTGTGACAATTCCACAATGTCTTGAAGGCACCAGGCTCTTTCTCGTCACCACTGCCTCTCTTAGGATGTGACCCGTGTCCTCCTGGTACAAAATGGCTGGAAGCGCTCCGGCCACCACATCTGTATTCCAGGCAGCGGAACCGAGGGAAGGAACAAGATGGGCAAAGGGCAATACATCAGCAGTCTCTTAAAATGACCTCCCAGAGGCCATACAAAACCCTCCCACTTAATTTCATTGGGTAGGGATTAGCCAAATGGACACAAATATTATTGGCGGGGCAGAGAAATATAAATATAGTCTTCTAGCTGAATACATTTTATTGTCCCCACTATAGCTAGGAGTCCTAAGGCTCAGGAGAGGAGGAGGCAGCTAGCAATTTGACCTAATCGGGTTGAGTCACGAGCCAGCACAGACTCTGGTAAACAGCTGGCAGCTGGCTTTGCCGGCTTTGTTAATAACCGGGGAGTTCCCTTTTTAATTACACAACGTACAACGGGCGCATACTCTTTCACTAGGACGTATCAGTACGTCACGCCCAGCGGACGTAATTTTACATTATTGTTTTTATTTATTTATACTTAAGTAAAATAAATGAAATATATATTTTTTCGTTTATTTATATATAAAGCACAAAGGAAAACACAAAATTACAAACAAATAGAAAAGAATACCAACAAAAAAAATGGAAACATCGAATTAAAAAATTATAAATTTTACAAACAATTATAAAGATTACAAAAAATATATACCGCCCTCTCAGGGCGCAACATATATTTCAAGGACATATTCATATGTCCTACCCGTTCTCGATAGTGTTTATGTTTGACATATTTATAGGTCCCTCTCGGTTAACAGGTTAACCGAGAGCTTAGCTCTCAGAGGGCCCGAGGTTGGTAATCATTCTAAGCATCGCCCAGCCACTTGCTAAACCTAAATGCAATAGAGCACCTAGAAGCGGCCTCTGATTTCTGTTAAAACAAGCTCCCGATGACATGGCTAGACCTCTGAGACTCCCTCGCTGTGTACACCACACGCATTTCTGCCCGGAGCGCTTGCTGTAGTTTATCCCATCCTCAAACACAGAAATCTCCTCCTGCCTCTTTGCACCCTCTCCTAGACCAGCCAGTCAGTCTACTGGACATTCTATCAAAACTCACGCCATTTACCTGCTTCATAAATTACAATTCTGGCTCCGTTCCGTGAAAGTGGTCCAAGTACCCTGTGATAATCTTTGCCTTCGCGTAAAGGAACCCAGCAGGACCAGTGGAAGGATTAGACGGTCAGTTCTTTTCATGAGCCCTTCCTTCGCCTCGGGAGTCTGAGTGCAGTCATTACAGGCACAGCCCAGAGAGCTTAGCAGAGCCCCCCACCCCCACACCGCCTGCCCTCCCCCGCCCCCTGTCCTGCCCTGTGGGTCTCGGGATGTGCATGCAATACTGCACCCCACTCAGGGCCACTGAAAAGCTCCAAGGAGCAAAGGGGAACCCTGGTCTGGCCTCCTGCCTTTGGACCTCCTTTTCCAGGGCAGCACGGATAGCCCCACGCTGCAGGGAACAGAGACACAGTGTGGCTATTCAACCGGAAGAAACCAAACCCAATAACTGACTTCCTTAATCGCAGTCATTCATTCCTAGAAAAGAGGCTTTCTAATATTGCTAATCACAGTCATTCATTCCTAGAAAAGAGGCTTTCTAATATAACAACAACAACAAAAATCACACGTCAAGCACTTTGAGCAAGACTGTTTTCCAGGGAGTAAAGCCAAGTAGTATTGCCCGAAGGACGCCATTCTGCGGGGCCTTGTTTGACTCCCCATCCCCACTCCCCCCACGAATCGCTCAGCTCCCGTTCTTTCTGCTCCCCCCATCGGTCGCATCAAGGTTGCCCCACCTTGGCACTTTCACCTTGGCACTTTCACCTTGGCACTTTCACCTTGGCACTTTCACAGGAACTGTCTCTTCAGTGAGGCTCTTTGCTCTGACCTGCATTCAGGCTCCACTTTATATCCAACTCCTCTAGGACACTTCTGGTCATCCAATCTGAGGCAGCTGGACCCCATCACCCCTTATCCGCCACCATGTTTTACTTATTTATACTTATTATTATTACTTCAAATATGTTTTTATTGATTTCAGAGAGGAATGGAGAGGGAGAGAGAGAAACATCAACGATGAGAAAGGATCATTGATTGGCTACCTCCTGCACGTCCCCCTCCCCCTTGTGCCCCCTTCCCCCCCAAACACACACACAAAGGGGATCAAGCTTGCAAGTTCATAGATCCACGCTCAACCACTGAGCCAGACCAACTGGGCCACCATGTTTTATTTTTATCACAGCATTTATTGTCATCTAATAATTTCTCATTGCTTGCTTGCTTATCTGGCTTCCCTCTATTAGGAGGGAAACTTGCCCTTTCAAAATGGCACCTCATCATATCTGGGGAAATATTCTCCCCCTCACTGGTGTTTAGTTCATGCTAGAATTTCTCAACTTTGGCACTGCTGACATTTGGGGCACATAATCCTCTGTGGTGGGGTGCTGTCCTGTGCCCTCTAGGGTGTCTAACAATATCTTTGGCCTCTGCCCATTGGATGCCCCCTAGTTGTGACCATCAGAAGTGTCTCCAGACATTGACAGATGCCCCTGGGGAGGAAAATCCCTGCAGGACTGCGTTAGGCCAGTGGTTGGCAAACTCATGAATCAACAGAGCCAGATATCCACAGCACAACGATTGAAATTTCTTTTGAGAGCTGAAAACTGACTTCTGCGCATGGGCCAGGAAGTTTTCATTTCACTGTACATGCATGCCTGCACATGGTGTTTTGTGGATGAGCCACATTCAGGGGCCAAAGAACTGCATGTGGCTCTCGTGCCGCAGTTTGCCGACCACTGGGTTAGGAGATTGGCTGCCTGGTTGCAGCTTTGGTACTCCTAGGCAATGGCATCTGGGAGTAACAGTAGCCACATTTATCGAGTGCCCGGTGTTGGGTGTTTCACTGAATCTTTACAACAACCTTACAACAGGTGCTAGTTATCCTCATTTTGTAGGTAGGGAAACTGCAGACACAAAATGCTGGACCAGCTCATCCAACATTACACTGCCAATAAGTGGTTCAAACTGGACCACAGGCTCCAGGTCTGCGGTGAGAGCCTCACTGAGCCCTCTGCTGGCAGAGACTGCGCACAGGGGGTGGGGGGTGGGCTCCTCACCCCAGCCCATCATTCATTCAGGGTGACCACAGGCCGGTGACAACCCTCCCCATCCTCATAACTTCCGGGCAGAGTTGGGGGGTAGCTGACGGCCATGGTGCATGTGGAAATATGTAGCCGGCTTCTGTCCTTAATTTGTTTCTCCTCTCCTTCCTTTTCCATGGCCCCGAGCTCCCAGCTCCCAATGCAGCTCCTCAGACCCCCAGGCAGGGAGCCCCTGGAAGGATCTAACCTTTGAGTCACCTGCAGAGGGTTTGTTTCATGGACCAGGACGGAGGAAGAGGGGCAGAGGCCCTGCAGAAACAGCCTGCGGTTGGCATCGTCCCTGCCAATGCCCGCAGCCCAAGCCTTCCACACAGCCCTGTTAGCCAGGGGGCTTTAAATCTGGGCTGATGGGATGTCCCCAGGCCTGGCTGACAAGCCTGAGCTTTGACGGCCTGGCCTCTGGTTTTCTGAGGCAGCCAATTAAAGGTGCTGGTGGAAAAGCATGAGCATTGTGGCCAGCAGGGGGCGTCCTATGCTAACAAAACTGACTTGGTGCTCAAGCTGGCCCTCACTGCCCCACAGAAACCGGGTGCTTCTGAACAGTTTGCTTGGAACAGGGCTTCTAAATTTGGGGGGCACCAAACTCCGTGGATAGAGTTCCGTTAACTTCGATGGGGAATAAACTGTGTATTGTCAGTAGCCTCCCATGGACACGCTGCATTTTCTTCCATTATGAATGCAGGCAGGAAATCACAGGTGCTTGTGGATGCCACGATGGCTGCTGCAGAAAAGAAAGAAAAATAGTTTAATATAGAATTGGCCAGTCCAGAGAATGAGAGCTAATGCTCTAAGGACCCAACGCCCCCATGGTGTATAGGTTACAGATTACATAGGGCAAAATCACAACGCACTGTGGATGAGGGGGCTTGGGGTCACACTGGGAGGTGATTGGTCAACGGTGAGTTAAGAGTAATAAACCAGCCTGGCTGGCATGATTCAGCGGTTGAGCGTCGACCTATGAGCCAGGAGGTCAGGGTTTGATTCCTGGTCAAGGCACATGCCCGGGTTTCGGGCTCAGTCCCCAGTGTGGGGCCTGCAGGAGGCAGTTGATCCATGATACTCTCTCATCACTGATGTTCCTATCTCTCTCCCTCTCCGAAATCAATAAAAATATATATTTTAAAATAGCAATAAACCATTTCTTCAGGCCTTGAGGTCAGTTTCGAGGTTACCCCTCTATCTGGTCTCATGGGAGAGGAGCAGGGGTCACCTCACCTTAGGGCTCAGGAGCTGAAACATAACTTAGGTCACTGCTATCTGTACCTCAGCGGCACCCACTGGTGAAAGCCATGGCAATCAGAGGTCTCCCCCTGCTCCTACCTAGGTGGGGCCTCCATGGTTTCTGCTCTGAGCCCCCACAAGTGTGCATCCAGGGGCATTTGGGAAGGGGCAGACCCCAGGGGAAAGCAAAGGGCTTCTCAGGGAACCCCCACATTCTCTCACTGAAGTGTCTGCCCCTGGCAGAGCCCCTTGGCAGCCCCTCACCCTTGAGCCCCCTCAAAAGAAACAGGCTCAGGGTCTGGTTTTGTGAATAGCTAGCTAGTGTTCTGGGTGGTGTGGCAGTGCTGAGGCCCACCCTTTGCCCCTCTGTGTCCCTCTCCCTTCCCCCCTCCCCCGTCTGAGGCTGGGGACCCAAACTCCCTTTCCCATCACATTCCCCACCCTCAAAACCCCCTTTGGAGAGTTCATTGTCTGTGTGAGGTGATTAACCTATTAGCCCCAAGAACACAAAGCAATAATCTTGGTTACTGAGATGCACAGCTGTTCAGTTGTTGTTTTGTTGTGTTTAATGTCTCCTAATAAAAAGAGGAGCTGCAATTTATATGTTATCTATAGTCTGCCAGAAGCCAGACCTTGTGACCAACAGTCCGGTCTGGTCTGCTGTCTTCAGCTGCCTCAGGGGTTGCTGATTCTCTAAGGGGTGTATACATAGAGAGAGATGATTTCTAGGATTTAAAACAAAAATCAATCAAAGTCATAAACCTTTGCTTTCACCAGGCTCAAAGAGGATGAGTACTTGCACAGATTCACATAGCCAATGGAGGGACCTGGGATTAGAATCCAGACTTTAGAAACCTCCACTGCCTTCCAACTTTTTTTTTTAAAATATATATTTTATTAATTTTTTTTACAGAGAGGAAGGGAGAGAGATGGAGAGCTAGAAAGATCGATGAGGGAGAAACAATGACCAGCTGCCTACTGCACACCCCCTACTGGGGATGTGCCCAAAGCCAAGGTACATGCCCTTGACTGGAATCGTACCTGGGACCTTTCAGTCCACAGACCGACGCTCTATCCACTGAGCCAAACCTATTTCGGCTTCCTTCCAACTTTTCTTCAGATATTGAGTTTAATTGGTTGTTGACTTTGATAGTTTTAAAGTACAGTCATGTGCCATTTCTCGACAGAGAGACATGATGAGAAATGTGTCCTTAGGCAATTTCATCCTTGTGAGAACGTCACAGAGTGCACTTACACAAACCTAGGTGGCGAAGTAGTGGCCTATGACTCACCTAGGCTGTGCGGCATAGTCTACCGTTCTGTAGGGGAAGAAAAATAATTCCCCCTCTGCCCTTCTGGGTTCTTTGCTGATACATCCCTGTAATAAAAGACAGATTAACAGGAGAAAAACAAACAAAAGTTTAATAACATGTCTACCTTTTCTGTGTACATGGGAGAGACCCAGGGAACTAAGGCTTTGAAATGACTCAAGTTATCCCATCGCCAGCTAAAGACAAAAGAATATATTGGGGGGAGGGGGGGAGAGGAGCCAGTTATGAGGGGGATCAGGAAACGCACAGTAAACAAGGGTGAGGTTGTTATGCAGATTTCAGTCTTTGTTTTAGGCATTGATAAGAGTTTCTAGAGAAAATGTCATTTCTCTTTCCTGGTACAAGGAGGGAGACAAATGCAGAATTCCCTTACAAGTGTAAATGTTTTTGACAAAGGGTAACTTCTACTTGGTTTTCAGAGCTCATCCCATGCCTGCTGTTTCTTAAAAATTAGCCAGCCTGAAATAATCCTTTCACAATGAGACATGTTTTGGGTGACAAGTTCTGTTCCCCTTAATTCCTACACTACACACCCGCGACCCGTTGTAATAACCCAGTTATTAATTAACTGGCGAGGAGCTAAGAAAGGTCAAATTCTATAGGCATGTTATTTGTACTGCTAAGCCACTGGTCTGCCCCCTCACTGGGGGACGGGACTGGACAGGGGAAGGATGGACGCATGCCCAGTAAGTACAATCTGCATGATGTACAATCTGCATGTCTGTCCGTCACACCTGGAAACAGGTCATTGACCAGAACAGACATGACCTCGACGAGTGTGGGAAGACTTTATATTTAAACTCCAGAATGAAGACGTTCCCTCTCGTCTGACTCCTAGCTTTCGGTGCTCTGGTGCTCTGTGAGAGGGCAGGGCGGGGCGAGGATAAAACTCCTGACTCCACTGTGGGGCAGGGCGGAGTTATCCTCCATTAACTGGACCCTAGCCCAATCAGGGTCAGTCAAAGCAGTGATATCACCACCGGAGTAAAACCCCAGGACTTGGCGAAATTCGCTCTCTTCCGCCGCCATGCTGCCGGCGTGAGTGGGAGGAGCCCATGCTAGCATGGAAGAGGCTCTTTTGTTTATTGCATCGGACTCGGCTCCGTGGTGGTCCTTGGGGATCACGAAGTCTGGGCGTAACACTCTGCATTTGTCCTCAGGACCACGGCCTGTGGACCGCCCCACAATGGCCTGGGGGGCTGGAACTAGTCCCCTGGGCCAGACCAGCTCCTCCATGGGGCGGAAACGCAGGCACTGGCTTTGCTTCTAGCTCTGCTGAATCCCCAGCTGCACGTCTTCCCGGATGGTTTAAGGCCATCGTGGGCAAACTGTGGCTCGAGAGCCACCTGTGGCTCTTTGTCCCCTTGAGTGTGGCTCTTCCACAAAATACCATGGCCTGGGCGAGTCTATGTTGAAGAAGTGGCGTTAGAAGAAGTTTAAGTTGTAGACATTTGGCTCTCAAAAGAAATTTCAATCGTTGTACTGGTGATATTTGGCTCTGTTGACGGATGAGTCTGCCAACCACTGGCTTAAGGGAAATGGGGCCTTGGAAACCCAGGGACATATGCCACACAAATAAAGCTTCTGTCCCCTCTCTTCCTCTGATGGGGCCGCTAGCAATGCTTACTCCAGCGGCACCCTGGGACCCTGCTCTCAACAGCAAAGGAGAAGGGCAATCCACACACCTCTCCGGTAACACCTGTCTGTCAGGGCTGCCGAGGGAGGTGCCCACCAGGCCAATGGGGCAAAGAATTACGAATGTTAGATCATCTAAATACCCAGATGGGCTGAGCCCCAAATGGTGCCAGCACCCCAAGGCAGGAAGTCCAAGGTTTTTAAAAGATGCTAGGTGGGCTTTTCCTGGGGGATGGGAAAAAAGTTTCATTTGATATACGCTGGGGAGTGGCTCAAGAAGGACAGTGCCTCTTTCCTGGTACAGGCCAAGATGGCTCTCTATCATCACGTCCAAGGTGCCATCAAATCCCTTTTCCACAGTTCTGGCCATTAGTCCATTGTCCGTCTTTCCCATCCAACACTGCTCAAGGCCCTCTCCCGCCTCAATCCCCTAACCCCCAAACCCTTCTTTCAACACACACACACACACACACACACACACACACACCCCTGAAATCTTTACTTTTTATTCACCTGAACTTGCAGGCCCCGGCCTTCCATTCAAAACCAGCCAGGCATCCCTGCTGCCTTACCCTTTGCAGCCCCTTCAGACGCTTCCTTAATATCTCAACGGAATTCTCTCATAAATCCCCTCTTTGCTGACCAAGAGCTGCGCTGCTGCTGATTTTGCAAGATACGTGCTCATGGAAAGTATGTCTCCCGGGAGCCTCTCCGTCACCTGGCTGCCCTCTGCTAGCCCTCCTCTGTGTTGATGTCCTTATCAGAGCTGCACACAGCCTCCCAATGGCCTCCGGGTGCCCCTGCCGGGCCGGCAGGTGGGCTGTCCCCGATAGCCCATCTCAGATTGGGTTTGGGGGATTCTTTTCTCCACCATGGTCCCAACGGCTCGCCTGGTACATGCCGGAGTAGATGTCTTTGCAGATGAGGGTTTTTACAAAGAATGGTGCCAGATGCCTTCCGGAAAGGTGGGAAGTGCTTTGGAGAGGCTGCTCAGCCACTCACATGCTCCGCTGCCCATGAGCCTCACAGGTGCGCAGGCCGGTCTCCCCGTGGGACACGTGTGCCAGCCCCTTTGTCATTAACGGGACGTGCTGAGCGGATCTCACCCTCCAGCTGTGGCCTCCGTGCTCAGAGCACGTCCCCCTGCTGTTGAAATCATCAAGCCCATGCGCTGTCCGGTGATGCTGAAGTCCTCTCTCAGCAGAGAGGCCACCTTCCTGAAATATGGCAGCAACCACACTTGGGTAAAAACTGCTGTTTGAATTTTAACCCTGCTATTCTGGCTTCGGCACTCTCTGACTTGCTTAAACATAGGGTAGTTGCCTAAGCTTCCAGATTGAGACCTGGAGGCTAAGGCAGTTTCCTGTGCCTGTGGACCAGGACCACAGGAGATTGATTCCCACTGACTCAGTAGCTTCAGGGGTAAAAACTGTAGATAACCTTTAGAGATTAACCGCTCAGCTCTGCTTCTGTACTATCTGCTATCACAAGATAGGGCCACATTCCAACCCCAGCAGGATGTGGCTGGGAATGACCCTGTGGGCTGTTCTCAGCCTTTAGAATTTAGAACAAAGGAAAATACTTGTGGTTTGGACCTTTAAAAGGACTGCCTACACCTGGAATGGTGCAGTCTGGAATGTGGTCACCTGCTTGTGGTGCTCTTGCGGCTGTCCTGGCCAGTTCAATAAATCATCACCTGCTTTTTAAAATCAATCATCAGCTTCCGGTGGTCTTATTTTGAACCCAGGGTTCGACCTTTCATGTCTCCTTTCAATTTCCACAGGCTGGAGAGCAACCAGCTGGAGGGGGGCTATGCTCTCCCAGGGCGGCGTGCAGCCCGGTTCCTTGGGAAGCCCTGTACCAGGATTGCTTTTCCATTTCCGGTCCTGCCAGGCTGCGCCTCCCCACTGTGTGGTTGCCTCCTGGGCCCCTGCGTGCATTTCTGCAGCTCAGTCCTGGCGCTCCTGTCGCACGGTGATGGCCAGGAGACAGTTTACTGCTGTCCCATCCCTGTTGTTTCTCAATCCCCAGTGTATCTGCGCACACGCCTCCTCCTGCCAGCCCTGAGCCCTGAGCCCTGAGACAGCGCTGGTGCTTTGCTGGAGCGGGGACGGGTGTCAGGATGATTTATAAAGCTCTCTCATCCCACTGCCCTGGGCAAAAGATCGCATCCGTGTGGCGGCTTCGCAGAGGCCTCCCTGGGCTTGCCTGTGGATGGAGGGCTCTTCGGGCAGCAGCTTCTTCCACCTGTTCTGCCCAGCGGGCCCGGGAACCAGCCTGTCACGGGTGAGGAGGATCATCTTCATCACCGTGGCACCACGCGCCTTTGGCACTGTTTGGATTCACATTCATAGGCCGCAGTCACCGTCATTAAATCCTGTCGCTGCGGCATGAATTATTGTTATCTGGTCGTATTTAACTCACCCCCTTCTTTCGGAACTCTCCAGGGAACTGCAGGCCTCATCCTGGGGATCTTTTGTCTGTTCCCAAAGCCAGGGCCGGATGGATGACACATTCTGGCCTTCGAGTACTTGGTGCTGGTCCTCACGCCAGGCATAAAAAGTGATCTGTTACCAATCTAGTTTTCTTTCTTAAAAAAAAAAAATGTTTTTATTGAAGGGAGGAGAGA